TTTTTAGTTGTCCGATTAATTTCTTTCTATTTTTAGTAGAGACGGGGTCTCGTTCTTGCTCAGGCTGGTTTCGAACTCCTGAGCTCAAACAATCCGCCCGCCTGGGCCTCCCAGAGTGCTAGGATTACAGGCATGAGCCACCACACGCGGCCTACAACTGATTTTGTATATATTTGAGTTCAGCAATCTTGTGTAATTCATAAATCCTAATATTTTATTGTAGGTTTCTTTGGATTTCCTACATACATACCCCAATCATCCAAGGATAGTAATTTTGTCCCTTCTTTGCTAATCCTTTATATTTTTCTTCCTCCCTCCCCACACAATTATTGGCATTCCTGCATTAGCTAAGACAAACAGTATGCCATATGAAGGGATGAGAGTAGGCATCTTTCTCCTGTTTTGTATCTCAAGAGGAACACTTCCAATATTTTACCATCAGATTTGTCTTAGGGTTTCCGTAGATAATCCGTCATGTTGAGGAAGTTACCTCCTATTCTGAGTTTACCAAGAATTTGTTTTAATCATAAATAAATACTTTACCAAGTCCTGCATCCATTGTGAGGTGATAATGATTTCTACCCTGGCAAATTACACTAATTGATTTTTAAATTGTTAAACTGACATTGCAGCACTCCTGAGTCAAACTCAATTTTTGCAGATAGTTGAACTTGGTTTACTAGAACCTTATTTAGGACAACTCCATCTATTTTGTGGGTTACAGTGGACTGTAGTTTTCCATTTCTATAAAATTTTAAAATTGACTTTAGTTTCAGGGTTATGCTAGCCTCATAAAATGAACTGAAGAATGTTTCTTCTTTTTCTTTTCTTTGGAAGAGTTTGTTTAAAGCTGCTGCTATTTCTTTCTTAAATGTTTCATAAACTCTCCATTGAAGCCATCAGAGACAAGTTACAGATTTGTTACAATTATTTGCAAACTCACTGCGGTCTGAGAGTGCTGCCTGAAACAGTTTCATAAATTGTAGGTTCTTCCTTCAGTACAGTGGATTTTTCAGATCAGAGACACAAGCCACTGCTAAATTGGACATATTTGTCTATGAAGTGCTATTTTAATGGTGTCTTCAACTTCTTCCCTTCCATCATCAGCACTTTATTTTTCCTTTTTTCACTTCATGAGTTTCAGTGCATGCATCAACACAGGGTAACAACAAAGAGTCACTGAAATGTGACTCTTACCTTCACCAACTAAAAGCTTTCTTGGCAGCAGCTTTCTGGCTCAAAACTAAAATGTAGGTCTCAATATCATGGAATACTAAGGTATTTCCTGAAGAGTCAAAACCACATGTTAAATCCTAAAATATCAGAAATCTACTGTAAATGGTGTAGATCTGAAATGCTTCTCCTTTGTTTTATAGCATCCTTGTGTATGCGTATTTATTTGCACGAAAGGGTGTTTGTTCTTCAAACAATGGCCATTGTTCAATTTTCTTATTTTTGGTTATATATTTTCTTCTTTTTAAATAACATTTTTTGGAGCTTTTTAAGATTATCACAAATGATAAGAAAAGAATTCATTAATCTCTCTCCCCTGCCCGCTCCCTTGAACATCAATTCAGCCCAGGACCACCAATCATGTTGCTCTGTTAAACTGAACTAGTTCTTCCCTACCAGGCTCAAATCGTTTGAACTAGACTGGAGATCACATGTCTTAGCTATTTTATTACTCAATTAGACAAATAAGTTAACCTATTCACTCCAATTTGAAGTTATTATGATACTACTTTCAACAGGCAGGGAACTAATTTTAGGCACTTCTTCCCTAGTCTTACCTACTTGTCTGTAATTTTGTTAGACAGGGTCTCACTATGTTGCTCAGGCTGGAGCGCAGTGGCTAGTCACAGGCACCAACATAGTGCACCATAGCTTCGAACTTCTGAGCTCAAGCGATCATCCTCCTGCCTCAGCCT